TCCATGTGGTGGGTGACAATCTTCCCCATTGCTTGTTGTTTGTTTTTCCTCAAAATATTCAGCCCATATCTCCAGTACTATTTTCAGGAATTAATGTTCCATCCTTATTCTCACACATTTCCGTTCTGACTTGGTATTCATTCCCCCCCCCCCATCTTGTATTTTCATGTAAACTCCTCTGATGCTTAGAAGACTTATCAAGACTTATCTCTTGCAAAGTCTTCTATTTCTTTCAGTTTAACTTTTCCACATTCCTCTTTAACTTCCTACATATCTTTGTGGCTTTCCTTCTGGCTTCATTGTATATTTTTCACGCATTTCTGGTTTCCCCTTTGTATCAGTCATTCGAGTCTTGTTTCTCTTTTCGACAGCCTCTCTGCATTCATTATCAAACCAGTCCCCATGCATTGTAAATGAAAGATAATTGAAAGAAAGAACTATTGAAAGAGGAATAAGAAAGAAGGATAAGGAAGAAAGAAAATTTTAAAAAGTAGAGTAAGAAAAAAAAGAAAAAAAGAAAAAGAAAGAAAGAAAATATGAAAAGAAGGTGAAAAAAATAATAGTAAGACAGAGGCAGATGTGTTGTGTGCATAATTTCAAAACGTCCCTTGAAACCCATCTGTTTAGGTCCGCCTATGACCTGTGAGGCACCCTCCTTGCGCTGCCTCATTTTCTGTCTCCGGTTGATCCTGTAGTATAGGCCAAAACGTGCCAAAGTGTACTTATTTTTATACCCATTTTAATGTTTAAGCTACTGTTTCTATCGTCATTTTTCACATTGTAGTTACTATTCTTGTGTCCCTGGTTTTTCCTTTTTATTTTACTTTAGCAGTTTAAATAGTTTACATATCTTTAATAATTGTAAAGCGCTAAGAGCTGTAAGGTAAGCGCTATAAAAAAGAAATAAATGCCTAAATATATAAAGAAATTAAAAGTTCGAAAAAAAAAAAAAATCCGATTTGGTCAAGATTTCATTCATTTTTTTTATTTATGACATAACTTGACAAATTCTTGCATAAATCAATACATTAGAGAACATCAATGCTGTACATTATATAGATCATAAAACAAATTAAAAGTAATAACAGACTTTATAGTTTGACGAAACATCCCGTGTTGGTTTGGGGGGTGGGGGTGGGGGTGAAGCCGCTTGGCGGCATCTCCCCGCTGTAAAGGGAGAAGAGATTCTGTGAATTGGGGCTCCCGGGGGCCCATACGAGTCTTGTTGTCTCAGCTCGCCGTCTTCAATTCTGTTTGCCTAATTGTCAGCATAACTTCTCATTTTTTAAACACGGGATTTGATGACGTCAATATCTCATTAAACTCTACTACAATTCTACAGTTAGGTTAATGTATAGGTCAAATTACATTTGATCAGAGTCTTTAAAAACATCATCAAAATAAATCGTCAGCCCTTTTACTTTCAATGATACTCTCTTTTGTGCAGACATTGGGTGGGGATTACACAGACTCTTTTTAAATAGTACTACTCTCATGTGTGCAGACATGGACAATGGCGGGTCACAGGTAACTTGAACTATTTTAAAATCCAACTCAGATTGTCAGAGCAATGAACCGGATCACTTCATTACATCACAACACATGTTTTTTTTATTGGTTTTGTTTTACACCATTGGTAAATATGAATCAAAGGCTGTTTTTGTACATACTAAGTGTACAAAGTTGTTCTGTCCTTACGCTTTTCTCACTGTCTCTGACTCTCATTTATAATCTTTTTCGCTTCCTTTTCTCATTTATGAATTTTTTAAAAAATATTTTGTTTTCTCCCAATTATTTCGTGCCTTCTCACTCTTTACAGCTGACATTTATTTTATTATACTCTCACTCCCAACTCCCTTTATCTTATTTACCCACCCCCCACACACACACCAGCTACTTAATTTCTTTGCTTAATTTTTTTTACCAACACAACTATATTCCTCTCTATTTATTCCATGGGAGGGACAGTGTGGGGCAATTCTTCCCTTGTTTGAAAACTCTAGACTCGCACAACTAACAATCAAATCGAAGAAATAAACAGATTATTTTTTAAACAATAAACTGTCTCATTTAGAGACTATTTCAAGAGACCACATAAGGAGTGACAGTGAAGAAGTCAAGGAATACGCCTCTGCCTTTACACGTGGCGGTAACAACGCATCTGTCCTTACACAAAGGAGTAACAACGCCACTGCCTTTACACATAGCAGTAACATCGAATTTAAACAGACTAAATATACCAGACAAATAACAGACAGTTAACATTTTTGTACATTATTTACACTAATGACTTTGTACACCCGTGGGCGTAATTAAACCGTGAACACACAATTTTGTTTCCTGGTGAGAAGAGAATTATTTTCAACAGGTTAAATCTCTCCTCTTTTTAAAATCAGTTATTGGGATTGATAAAATTTATCATAGGGTTTGTACAATGTCCGTCTGCATGAGGTCAGGGTGTGGGAGGGGGGGGTTTAACAACTGCCTTCATTGAGAACACAGGGTAACCCTTTGAGTTTCAGTGGCTCTGCCCCTTGGCAGTTCATTATAAAGCTATTATTTTCAACAGGTTATATCTCTCCTCTTTTTAAAATCAGTTATTGGGATTGATAAAATTTTTCATAGGGTTTGTACAAGGTCCGTCTGCCTGAGGTCAGGGTGTGGGGGGGGGGGGGGTTTAACAACTGCCTTCATTGAGAACACAGGGTAACCCTTTGAGTTTCAGTGGCTCTGCCCCTTGGCAGTTCATTATAAAGCTGTTTCTCATTTATTATAAAGCTGTTTCTCATTTATTATAAAGCTGTTTCTATTTTTTTTATAAAGATGTTTCCTCATTTATTATAAAGATGTTTCCTCATTTATTATAAAGATGTTTCCTCATTTATTATAAAGATGTTTCCTCATTTATTATAAAGATGTTTCCTCATTTATAATAAAGATGTTTCCTCATTTATTATAAAGATGTTTCTCATTTATTATAAAGATGTTTCTCATTTATTATAAAAATGTTTCTCATTTATTATAAAGATGTTTCTCATTTATTATAAAGATGTTTCTCATTTATTATAAAGATGTTTCTCATTTATTATAAAGATGTTTCTCACTTATTATAAAGATGTTTCTCAATTGTTTAACAGACAAAAAAGATAATAAATCCCGCAAAATATTTCCAAAAAAAGTACCATCATTTTTTTGTTTTTCGTTTAAAAGTAAGCGATATCTGGTTTACGAAAATCTTGAAAATTTATCTTAGGAAAACACATCGTTGACTCACTCCTAATCTATTTTGTGGATTATGTTGTCATATCCCACCATTTTCTGTAAAGATTATGACGTCAACGAGTCTCAGCAGACTCATGCAGTTAACTAAAGGTGCTCGATGACATGAACATAATGGTCACATTTATCGGATTGCTTTTCTCACACATCGGTGCTCCCTGAAAAGTTCAGAGAGTTGGTATTATCTAATTGTCTTATAAAAAGTGTTGGTCCTAGTTAGATCTTTAGAAGGATTGAAACAATTTATGTCAATATCCATTTGAACAGAATCCATGACAGATTGTCATGCAAGTAGTCTAACAGTTTGAGCAAGGGTTTAAAATGGATTTCTAATTTCACTCGAGACTGCTTCATGGAAATCGTTCATGTTTTTGTAAAGACTTTTAAAAAAAAAAAAAAAACAACCCACAAAATAAGCAAAACCATTCTCATGGAGTGTCCGGCATGGTCCCAGGGCCGTCGTCACCAGACTTTTGGAGGCCCCCTGCCACTTTTCAGTTTTGTTACCTCTGCTTTCAAAGTCGATTGCGTCCCCCCCCCCCCTCTCTCTCTCTCTTTCTTGGATTTCTCCGTTTTCACAACACAACTTTGGGCTCAATCAAAGATCAAAGCCGTGACGATTTCAATACCCCCATGATTGTTCTGTTTAAACATCACGCAACGATGGCTCTGTTTAGACATCACGCCATGATGGCTCTGTTTAGACATCACGCTATGATGGCTCTGGTGTATACAAAGAAATCCTTGTTGTGTCGAACATCTTCCACTCAAAATTGTTCATGACAATTTTTTCACCTCAGCTTCGGTTTAAACCCTCAAACCAACAAGTAGAAGCTTTATACAAAAACCTGAATCCACAATCAGTTCACACGCTTAAAGAGTTGGTCAGTTAACAAGTATTACATTCAAAATTTAGGCAGATGTGTTCCTGGAACTCATAATCGTATTAGTTGGAATCGGATGACAAGTTTGTGGCAGTGAAAATGGAGAAGACACCTGTTAGTATAGGCAAAACTTGAATAGAATAATGTATTCTTCAGATTGAAACGTGGCTAAGAGGCTGAAAATGCTTCCGAGTGTTGAATTAAACGTCAACCCATCTGCACATTCATCCTCTGCCTTTCATTTAGTGACTATCTGCAACACTGATTGCAGTAACCAATACTGTCAACCACGTTCTTTTTTAAAATCAGATGTTACCAAGGCCCCTTGCAGCTTTCTGAGCCAATTATTTCTACTTTGTGATCAGTTCACGTGACAACAGCTATGCCCCCATTCAATGTAAAGCATCTGTTTTATTCTTTTCCCTTACTGAAACTCTGATATTATTGATGTCGGTGATGATCAGCTCATGTAGACAGTAGTAGCAACCATGTCTGAAATTCAGGAGCTCCTTTATCACACAACGACATCCTTAACGCCGTTAAAAAATAGATGATCGATTTCATCACAGAGCTCCACCGGATCAACTGTGTAACTACCGGAAGTGGTGGTGTCCGCGTCCCATGCGCCAGCGCCATCCACGCAAGAGTTCGAGTTTGACCTCTGGGACAAGTTTGACCTCCTCCCCGACATGTCTATGTAGTCACCGTGTGGATGGCCGGCATTGGGGTGTCGGTGGTGATTTTGATTGGCTGAGAAGTCAATGAGCGGTTTGTTTTTGTGGAATTCTGATCCCTGATTGGACAGATTTGAACGTCTCCCACCGCTACCATTGGTCGGTGGTAGATAGGCGCTGCCATCGTTGTGGAAAACGTTTGAGGTGAATTGCGATGAACTCGGGATACCGCTCTGGGAAGCAGCCCCCGTAAGGGCGTAGCCCCTGCCCCTGGCGGGTCTGCCCATGGATGATGCTGGCGGGTTCGGAGACAGAAAAGTGCCGACGCTGGGTGGGTCGGGGTGGATGTTGTGGAACTGCTGGGAGGATTTGTTAGATGCGGGCTTCAAGGCGTGGCTGTTGATGTTGTGGACGCTGTGGACGCTGTGGTTGATGATACTGGCGGTGCTGGAGGTGCTGGCTGTGGTGTTGAGGTTGTTGTGAGAGTTGAATCCCCGCTGTGAGGAGGCGAAGGAGGTGTCGCCTGCAATAAAAACGAAAATAAATAAGTTAATGTGGAGAATCAATAGGTTTAGGAAAATGAAGGTGGTGTGGCGGAGGCAATGGTTGACCCGGTGGAGGGGGGGGGGCACTTTATTATCCTTAAGATTTTTTGAATTTATTTTTTATGGTTGAAAAATCGTATGCCCCCTTCCCCCTCCCACCCGCGGGTCAATACTATAATAACCCTATCTACGCCATTGTTTTGGATATTTAGGTACCGGTATAAAAGTTAATACATAAACGCTCTTGTTGACATGAGGCAAAATCGTCTTCTTCAGAAATATATCTATAAAAACAAATTGTGATTAAAACAAAAAAAAAGTATTGATTCCATCTTACACACGATGCCTACAGCATAATCAAATATTAATGACAATAATAATAATCGACAGAATTCTGTTTACTCTGTGACGTTTCCAAGTCAGAGCTTTGATATATCTTTATACAGTTGAACTCCCTTGGACTTCTAAGACTGTTAGTATAGGCAAAACTTGAATGAAATAATGTCTTCTTCAGATTGAAATGTTGCCAAGAGGCTGAAAATGCTTCCGAGTATTGAATTAAAAGTCAACCCAATGCTTGCATGTTCATGGGGCATTTCGAACACATGGTCGAAAGCAGCTATACTGGACGCCTCCCTGAATTCTATCAGAGGTACAGAGATGATGGTTGGAAGGCTTTCTGCCGACACGTGCGCTGTTTTGTTGCGTTTATGTTTTTCAGGTTTAACCCTACTCTGTTTTACTCATTTTATTTGGACTTCTAAGACCGATGGATGTTAACTAATAGTTGAAGTAGATTTTATTTTATCTGCTTCTCTCCCCCCCCCCCCTTTTCCCGCGCTCACAGCCCTACTGAGCCAAATCCAGGACAACCCAGAAAGGGCCGTGGTCACGTGATTATGAACTTACAATAGTTACAAATTTCAAAACAGTGGGCTTTGATTTAAAACAATAACAACAAACAAAAAACGAACAAAACAACAACCAAAGTAGGTTCCCTAATATGCTAATGCCTAGAACCACTGATGATGTTTTTTAAGCCATCTGCCACGCCTTATGCAAACCACATGATGGTAGGAAATCGTGGTCGACTTTGGCGGCTCGCTAACACACAACCCAAGCATATCTCAGCATTTATCGCCGTTGAGATAAGACAACAATATGCGACGCATTTATTCACTGCTCACACAAACACTACTCAGAGTCCAACATAAATGTCAGATTAAAGTGCCGAGACGTGACTCTGCTGAGCTGATGATGTAATTATGAAATTATCGTTGCCGGGCCTCTGCAGTAAACCAGCAACAGCTGCATCCATGAGCTATCACGCGAGAAGCTATTGATTAAAACCCTTATCTCACCAGGCATGCCCACATGCTGATATGGACAGCCAACCACCTGCCCATGCAATGAATTAAAAAAAAAAGAAGAAGACATTTTTAGTTTGCACCACACATTGATGCGCATGCACCGCACCAACTCTCCACGGAACTAGATGGCATTCCACCTCGTGTTTCGCTAACGCGTCCATTTGAACTAAATGACCCTGTACTCCAGTCCAGTCCATCACTCCCCTACCCACCGCCCACTCCCCAACCGAAGTTTATAAAAATTTAGCGAAAACCTGAAGGCCGTAGCACCGTCCGCGCCCCTGCACGATAGATCAGAGCCCCGGTGCGGTTGGGAGAAGTCCCGAAGGGCGTCTGAAAGCGACGCCCGGTGATAGGGTGCCAGGAATGATGGCTTCGTTTATCTGGTTATCAGTCTAGCGTGGCGGCGGTTGGAGTCGGGGGGAGAGAGCTGGGAACTCTGGGAGTTATGCCTAGAGGAATTCGTATGGTCGGCCTGTCCTGATAATCTCTATACGAGCCGGGTTGGTTGAGGGGGGGGGGGGGGATAGGGTATTTATTGCTGGTTTAAGGGTTATAGGGACTTTGAAAAATAAAAAAGGGAAATTTATAGAGCTGGGAACTCTGGGAGTTATGCCTAGAGGAATTCGTATGGTCGGCCTGTCCTGATAATCTCTATACGAGCCGGGTTGGTTGAGGGGGGGGGGGTGATAGGGTATTTATTGCTGGTTTAAGGATTATAGGAACTTTGAAAAATAAAAAAGGGAAATTTATAGGAATTATGGATATGGTTTGTGCCAAAGAAGATTATTTTTGTTCTTTTACAAGGCAAAAGAAAAAAAAATCGAATGCTCTTTACAGTTACTCACTATTATTTGTTAAGTTATGATAACTTTAAGCTGTTTGGTAACTAGGTTTGCATTTTTTTTTTTTTTTTTAAATTATAAATATTACCAATTAAAGAAGATCTTAGCTATTTAACCGGGAGCATAGAAGGTCTTCATTTGAGTATGGTACCTTGAGGAGGAAATTATTTTAAGCAGAGTACATTCTGGAGGAATACATTTTGAGGAGAGTACACGTTTTATGCATCTTGAGATTGATCGTGCAAATTATAATGTCGCATTAGCAGTCAGGGGAGTTTAAAGGCAAAGTTAGAGAAGATTAATGGGGTCAGTTCGGGAACGTTTAATTTGATAAATCAACCATCAGACCCATCACATGTGTTTTACATTGAGGGGGGGGGGGGGAGGTGGGGGGCCATATGTCCCCGGTCGCCGAACTAGAGCGAGTGCCGAAATGGGAATTGGTAGCATATTATTGATGAAAATAATGGATTTCAGAGTAAAAGGTTGGGGAGGTGGGAGGGGGGCATGAAATGAATCTTGTCCCCGGGCGCCAACCAATCTAGCTACGCTTATGAAGGCAAAACCCCCGGGGTGGGTGGGTTTAGGGGTGGTGTTTATTTAAAGGAAAAAAAAAACAACTTGCAGACACGCAAAAACAATTCAAGCCAAATTAATGCAGTTAATGGTGGACATCCACTGATGTAAGATTTGATATGTTAATATGTTTGTAACAAAGCACATACTATAAGTCACCCCCCTTAGTCATGGCCGATGTTAATATGTTTGTAACAAAGCACATACTGTAAGTCAACCCCCTTAGTCATGGCCGATGTTAATATGTTTGTAACAAAGCACATACTATAAGTCACCCCCCTTAGTCATGGCCGATGTTAATATGTTTGTAACAAAGCACATACTGTAAGTCAACCCCCTTAGTCATGGCCGATTTTTTAGAAAAACAACAACAAAACATTTTTTTTTTTAAAAAGCAAAAAAAGCCCTCTTAGTCTTAGCCATATAAATGTTCTAAATTTGTTTCGTTTCTGTTTTGAAATTTATACATTTTATCTTACTTTTAATTGTGATATCGCCGTGTCCTGTTTCAAATGCATGTCTTATAAGAACCAACAACATTTCAACCGTGACTCCAACTGTCCCAATCATAGAACATTTCTTGAGTGAAAATGTGAAACCGCAATTAAAAAAATAATAATAAAAAACCCAGAAATTTTTAAAAACTAATGACGTAAATTATCGTGGTTTCGATATCAGAGTCGGAGCATTAGATTAACAAACGATTTTTGATCTGTCAATCCACCGGGACCCTACTCCACAAGCCTTGGCGTTGGCCAAAAAGAATAAAACAATAGCATTAGCCACTACGGATAAGCGGCTTTGTACTGAAAATGTTGGCGCGGTGTGGGCATCACGATGTGCGCAACTGTGCTAATGCGCATGGGAGGGAGATCCACTTCCTGCAAGCCTACCTGAGTCTCTGGATGCTCCACCGTGACTCTGCTGCTCCACATCGCTGCCGCCCCTACCGCTGTCGCTCGTGCTCAGGTCACCGCTAGCGTCGCTCAGATTATCCTCATGCAAGTGGTCAGTCTTGAAGATGGACAATAGGAGACAAGTTGTTATGGTGGGGCCTCACGTTACAAAAAACAAAACACGGTTTTAATTACTTATCCTTTTAGTTAATAGCCACTAAGTAAGTGTATGAAAGTAAGTGCCACGATATGTGGTAGGACTTGGACCGATATGCATGGCTTGGAAAGGTGGTGAGATGCTGACGGCTCGGTGGCTCACTACATGAAGACATTTAAGATCTCAAGTCGCTCGGTGTGTTAGAGACTAGAGGGTAAATCTAGCGATGGTTGGCTCAATGAGGGTGACACATCGAGGGTAAATCTAGCGATGGTTGGCTCAATGAGGGTGACACATTGAGGGTAAATCTAGCGACGATTGCTTCGGTAAAGTGTTGTGTTGTGAATGTTTTCTTTGTAACCAAATGGAATTTATATTTAAATAGTTATAAAATTAAGCTTAGACAACTGCACTTAAACAACCCAAAACCCCAATAAGTTAGCGTGTGTCTGTGTCCACACACTAAGAATTTAGCATGTGTCTGTGTCCACACCCTAAGAATTTAGCGTGTGTCTGTGTCCACACCCTAAGAATTTAGCGTGTGTCTGTGGGTCAAAACCCCAAGAAGTTAGCGTGTGTCTGTGTCCACACCCTAAGAATTTAGCGTGTGTCTGTGGGTCAAAAATAAAGAACAAGTGTGTGCCATTACATGGCGAGTGACGTACGTGACGACTTTTGGGTTGGAACATTAATTTGTTTCAGTAAGTCACTCAGTTTTTGTTTTGTTTTTTAATGTGCCTATCTGTCATGAAACACGGCAATACATAATTATGATTTAATATTTAGTTACTAAAAATAAGTACGCATTGATAGCATACATAAAATGAAAATAAATGTCAAACTCCAAATGAAAAAAAAAAAACCCTCTAAAATTACTTAAGCACCCCTCTCCCCCAACAAAAAATACATATCAGTGTCCATAACAAAACTCATAGTTAATGTATTAATAACAATATATTTGTTACTGTAATGTAAATCTAAAATGAATCACACAAAAATCGGGCTCGGATTTAGTGCTGACAGATTATATCATACATACAGGGCTGCATGGGTAACGTACAGGGGTGCATGACTATAATGTACAGGGATGCGTGACCAACGTACAGGGGAGCGTGACCAACGTACAGGGGTGCGTGACTAACTCTATGGCTAACATTCTGAACGGAAATGACGTAAAGGATCTCACCTGGCGATTTGTGAACACGTGACCAGGGCCCGCAGGGTGAACCTGGTGAAAGTTGAAGTTGTTGATGTCCTTCTTGGAGCTGGAGCTCTTCGTGTGTTTGTCGGCCTGGTAGTGGTTGCTGGTCAGCAGGTCAGTCTGTGGACGGGAGCAATGCCAGGCACGTGAACAACAGGGGTGGGGTGAGTTCAACGTGAACAACAAGGGTAGGTGAGTTCAACTTGAACAACAGGGGTAAGTGAGATCAACGTGAACAACAGGGGTAGGTGAGTTCAACGTGAACAACAGGGGTAGGTGAGTTCAACGTGAACAACAGGGGTAGGTGAGTTCAACGTGAACAACAAGGGTAGGTGAGTTCAACGTGAACAACAGGGGTAGGTGAGTTCAACGTGAACAACAGTGGTAGGTGAGTTCAATGTGAACAACAGGGGTAGGTGAGTTCAAAGATGAGATGAACCAGCATAGTTATTTTAGCCGGTCACTTACAATTTTTATACACAGCCACAAACCAACTAATGATAAAAAGAAATAGAAGAGTTACCACTAGCAAACATAGGTTAAAAACATCTGTCTTCCTTACAGATCAATCCCAGTCACACACCGACATAGAAACATTAAAGACGGCACAACAACCAAAACCACCTACAGGTAACCCATTACAGGTGACCCACTGCAGGTAACACACTACAGGTAATCCATTACTAAATCAATGTTATTAACAAGTCACTGACAGATCGCATCTATTGGACCACAAAGAAAGTATCGTTTCTTTGGGACACTAATATGATGCTTACATTTACTCTATTTATGAAAACTGATCTAGTAAAATGTATTACTTTCTTAAGTTTCCTGGAAATACATAATGGGTTAGACATATGTACAGTAATAAGTTCCCTGGACATACCTAATGGGTTAGACATATGTACAGTAATAAGTTCCCTGGACATACCTAATGGGTTAGACATATGTACAGTAATAAGTTCCCTGGACATACCTAATGGGTTAGACATATGTACAGTAATAAGTTCTCTGGACATACCTAATGGGTTAGACATATGTACAGTAATAAGTTCCCTGGACATACCTAATGGGTTAGACATATGTACAGTAATAAGTTCCCTGGACATACCTAATGGGTTAGACATATGTACAGTAATAAGTTCTCTGGACATACCTAATGGGTTAGACATATGTACAGTAATAAGTTCCCTGGACATACCTAATGGGTTAGACATATGTACAGTAATAAGTTCCCTGGACATACGTAATGGGTTAGACATATGTACAGTAATAAGTTCCCTGGACATACCTAATGGGTTAGACATATGTACAGTAATAAGTTCCCTGGACATACCTAATGGGTTAGACATATGTACAGTAATAAGTTCCCTGGACATACCTAATGGGTTAGACATATGTACAGTAATAAGTTCCCTGGACATACCTAATGGGTTAGACATATGTACAGTAATAAGTTCCCTGGACATACCTAATGGGTTAGACATGTACATTGATAGGTTCCTCGGACAGACATAATGGTTTAGACAATTGCAATATTAAGTTCCCTGTCTACATAATGGATTAGAAAAGTACAATGGATATCAACTTACTTTAACTTTATTCCTGTCCTTCTCTGGGATCAGATCGTATTTGTCGGACCCAATGGGATTAAAGGTTGTCATGGCAGGTGGATGGTTGATGTTGTTGTCCTCGTCCAGCGAGAAGCTGACCTCTTTCTTTTTTTTCGCCCCTTCTTTGGCATCCCCGCTTACATCCGGCATGTTACCGGGGGCCTCCATGTCTTCGCTAGGACACGGGTACATGTGACGTATGTTGGCGTCCACTTTAGACTCCTCCTGCTTGGCGTGGTAGAGCCGCCGCTGCTTGTCCACGCGGCGTATCAGAATGATGGTCAGCAGGATGACGAGCGCCAGCACCAGGGTCACCACGATTAAAATTATGACGACAATGATGTTCCTGAAGCCGAGAAACCCGCCCTGGAGCGGCGCAGTGGCGTTGCCCTCGTACACCATAATGTGGAGGACGGACTGCGCGGAGAGCTGAGTCTGGTACCCGAGGTCCTGTGCCACCACGATCAGTACGTGGAGTCCCACGTCGCTGACAGACAGAGTCCGGGTGAGGAGTATCTGTCCAGAGTCGGAGACGATGTCGAAGAATTTCGTGCCGTTGCCGCCGTCGGCGGTGTACACCAAGACGCTGTTCCTTCCCTCGTCCTGATCGGTGGCGATGATGTTGGCGAACATGGTGTTGGCGCTCAGGGTGTGAGGAACAAACAGGGTGCTGTTATCCTCGTTGGGGAACATGAACACCGGCTTGTTGTCGTTGACGTCCGTGACCTTGACATTGACGGTCACCATCGAGCTCAGGGAAACGGGCTCGCCGAGGTCGTACGCGATGACCTTGAACTCGTAATTCGACCTCCGCTCGCGGTCGATGTCTCCGGCGACCTTGATGCCGCCGTCCAGGCTGACCTCGAAGGGCACCGCGTAAGTGTAGTTTGGTGCCATCTTGAAATAGAAGATGGCGTTGACCTCCAGGTCGTCGTCCGTGGCGCTGACGTTGTTGACCACCCGGCCCATCGGGGAGTTCTCCGCAACGTTGAAGTAGTACACGGGTTCCGAAAACCTGGGTGGGTTGTCGTTGATGTCGCGCACCGTGATGACAACCGTGGCCGTGCCGGTCAGCCGGGTGCTGCCTCCGTCGATCGCCAGGACGATTATGTCTCGTCTGGTGCCCTTGACCTTGTCCTCGCGGTCGACGCCCCTCGGGTTGGCCACGAAGATGGCCCCGTCCCTGCTGATGCCAAAGTCCGTGTCGGAGCCATCGGCCAGGCGATATGTTATGACGGCATTGATCCCAGTGTCTTGATCGGTGGCGTGGACATGCAGGAGGGGACTGTAGGCAAAAAGATGGAAATGGAACAGTTTGTAAGTTAAATTCTTTCTTCTCCCCCCAGACAGCGCGCATTGTTCAAAATTGAGGCTCAAGCCCCACGAAGTGCTCATTAGGGGTAGAGAGACGCAGACGTGCGCACGCTAATGACCCATTAACGCACACAAAAATGTGGACAGACAAGAGAAGGGGGGAATTTAAAACAGGACAGACAGAGAGAGACAGTGGGTGTGAGAGAGAATGAGAGGTACAGAGAGAGAGAGAGAGAGAGAGAGAGAGAGAGAGAGAGAGGAATTAGAAGATATCTCATTGGAAAGGCATTTTTCAAGGTTGTCTTGTGTGTCTAGGCTGTGTTGTTTGTCTAGTTAATGTTTTAGCTCCCTGGTGCGTCTAGGACGCATCGTGTTTTTAGCTTTTGTTGTGTCTAATGTGGTGTGTTCTCTTTTAACAGTCGTTCTGCGTATCTTGTCTTTCCTTTCCTGCCTGTGCTCCAGTTGTGCTGTTTCGATGTCAGTTCGCACAGTAATTTCTTCACCTATTCCTTAAGTCTTATTCAGTTAGACATTGTTTTTCAACCAGGGTCTTTGGAGTATCTACTTATCTACTTTGAGTACCAATACCCTTCTGAATATAGAGTGTCGAATACAGCTGTCTTGAGATTCATTAAAAAAAATAATTTCATACCAAGTTATTTTCTTGTATTGTAAAATTGCACATGTATGTTGTAAATTGTATGTGTATGTTGTATATTATACAAGAGACAGTTTACACAATTAGAAACTTTACATAATCAGACAGTTTGCCTAATGAGACAGCTTACACAATCAGACAATAAACATCGTGAGAAATTACACAGCATACCACCAACGCAAAGTAAGCTGATTTGCAACAGCAGCTAAATCTCCGTACCTGTCTACTCCGGTTTTGGCCGGTCCCTCGGTGACGTCAGAGGTGTAGAAGAGTGAGTCGAACACAGGTGGGTTGTCGTTCTCGTCTTGCACCTCGACGAGGAAGTTGGCCGAGGCGTTCAGTGGAGGGCTGCCCGAGTCCACACAGACCACAGTGATGCTGTCGAGGGACAACACGTGATCAAGTTAGTGAAGCGCCCGCCAGCGGTGGTCATTTATTTTGGCTAAGCAGAGTATCTCTTATGTGTATATTTGGCTTCTGGCGTGGCAGCTTCCTTTTCATAACCACCCTCCCCCTACGCAATATGTTTTATACTAATATTACTCAGTGAAACAAAAAAAGTGATCAACAACAAGCGGCATGCGAGATGGTGGAACTCAGGAATAAGCTGGATTTTTTTTCCGGAGGCGTCTAATATGTTAATCAATAAAGAGCTGCGGTTTTGTTGTAGGATTTTCTGTAGGACTACTGTTTGAAGGCCGGCAGGTTGAGTGTAGGACTGTCTGTAGGACTATTGTTTGAAGGCCGGCAGGTTGAGTTTTGGACTGTCTGTAGGACTATTGTTTGAAGGCCGTCAGGTTGAGTGTATGACTGTCTGCAGGACTATTGTTTGAAGGCCGGCAGGTTGAGTGTTGGACTGTCTGTAGGACTATTGTTTGAAGGCCGGCAGGTTGAGTGTAGGACTGTCAGTAGGACTATTGTTTGAAGGCCGGCAGGTTGAGTGTAGGACTGTCTGCAGGACTATTGTTTGAAGGCCGGTTAGGGTTAGTGTAGGACTGTCTGTAGGACTATTGTTTGAAGGCTGGCAGGTTGAGTGTAGGACTCTCTGTAGGACTATTGTTTGATGGCCGGCAGGTTGAGTGTAGGACTGTCTGTGGGGCTATTGTTTGAAGGCCGGAAGGTTGAGTGTAGGACTGTCTGTGGGGCTATTGTTTGAAGGCCGGCAGGTTGAGTGTAGGACTGTCTGTGGGGCTATTGTTTGAAGGCCGGCAGGTTGAGTGTAGGACTGTCTGTGGGGCTATTGTTTGAAGGCCGGCAGGTTGAGTGTAGGACTGTCTGTAGGACTATTGTTTGAAGGCCGGCATCTTTTATAGATAATGCGAAGTTTACACTTTTCTTTTCTTTTGTAACACTTGGGCCAACCGGGTAGTTTCTGAAAATGTCCGGATCCTTATAAAATAAACAACAACAACACACAACTGCACCCGGTTAAAAGCCTAGTTCTAACTTATGTCTTTGTGATTATGCAAACCCGAGATAATTAACTCAGCCCAACATCGTGTATGTTAATTGAACATGTGGGAGGAAACCCTGGGAGAAAAGTTGAGGAACGTTTGCAGAAATTGCAGCTATTAAAGGGTTAACAAGATAGTTTTATTTTATGCATCCAGTCTCCCGTCTGGGTTTTCCATAACACTTAGAACAGTTTTTCATTAGCAAATACGAAATGTTTAATGAAAGAATGTTAAATGGAATGTAACACATATTGAAAACAATTTAAAGCATATGAATAATCAAATTTAGTTCAATCAAACTCAGGATATGTAAACAAATATATTAAAAATGTTTAAAAATCGACTAACCTGTGGAAAGGCAACTGCTCTCTGTCCAGACGACTCGTGAGTATGACCTTGTACTGATACACGTCCAGGGCCTGGAGCTGGAACCTGTCGTTGTCCAGCGAGCAGGTCACCTGACCGTTAGGGCTCATGTTGGAATCCGGGTCAGAGACAGAGAAGTAGGCCACTGCCCGCCCCAGCTCGGCCAACTCAGAAACGCGACCTTAAAATAAATAATATTTATACAAATGCTATTGTTAGCATGGTTCAAGACCTACCAATTTATCGCAGTCCAACACTCTTAAAATTAGTTACTTCAAGACCTACCAATTTATCGCAGTCCAACACTCTTAAAATTAGTTACTTCAAGACCTACCAATTTATCGCAGTCCAACACTCTTAAAATTAGTTACTTCAAGACCTACCAATTTATCGCAGTCCAACACTCTTAAAATTAGTTACTTCAAGACCTACCAATTCCTTAGCTTAGTACCGGGAATTATATCATGAGGCTCATTACCCTAAACAAAATAATGAAAATCAACTAGGAAAGGACTTTGACGATTTTATTTGAACTATAGTACGAGCACGTCTATTGGGCCATGTACTTGATTTACTCCTCTAGTGCGCATGACACATTGCTAATTTGACAATAGTTTTGTAGACAAAGTTATTGAGCTTAAGGTATATGGTGACACTGGGAATCATGATTGCATGACTGCGTTGTGAACGATGAGTGCACTTTAAATGATGATGCACAGTAAATGATGAGTGCACTGTAAAATAGGATGCACGGTAAATGGTGAGTGCACTGTAAATGAAGATTATGTTGGGAATGATGAATGCACTGTAAATGATGAGTGCACTGTAAATGATGAGTGCCCGTAAATGATGGGTGCGCTGTAAGTGAAGATCACACGGTAACTGATGAGTGCACTGTAACTTATGAATGCGCTGTAAATGAGGATTATGTTGGGAATGATGAGTGATGATTATGTTGGGAAAGATGAGTTCACTGTAAATGATGATTATGTTGGAAATGATGAGTGCACTGTAAATGATGATTATGTTGGAAATGATGAGTGCACTGTAAAGATGATTATGTTGTAAATCATGAGTGCACTGTAAATGATGATTATGTTGGAAATGATGAGTGCACTGTAAATGATGATTATTTTGGAAATGATGAGTGCACGGTAAATGATGATTATGTTGGAAATGATGAGTGCACTGTAAATGATGATTATGTTGGAAATGATGATTGCACTGTAAAGATGATTATGTTGTAAATCATGAGTGCACTGTAAATGATGATTATGTTGGAAATTATGAGTGCACTGTAAATGATGATTATGTTGGAAATGATGAGTGCACTGTAAATGATGATTATGTTGGAAATGATGAATGCACTGTAAATGATGAGTGCACAGTTAGCGAAGAGTGCACGGTAAACAGGCAAAATTACCTACATGTTTCTAATTTATTTCATGATAGATAGAACCTACTTGTCTTGCCGTCCACTCCAAAGACGTTCAGGAGAATTTCCGGTTCGCTGTTGTGAGTGTCCATCACATTTATGTACACGTCAGTGCGGTCAGTGTTAGAAGGCAGGCCAGAATCTTGGGCGTTGATGGTCAGTCTGTAATGTTGCAATGGTGGAAAAAGGTGAAACAAAAGAGCAATAGAGGCCAAACAAGAATGCGACTATACATGGGAGAGGACAATATATTGATTTTAATAATGCCATGGGACCTTTAGGACAGAGGAACGAAGAGGGTGCATCACCAATACCCCAGAGGAAAGGCTCAAAGGCAGACCTAGGCTTAGATGGATGGATGATGTGGAAAACGATCTACAACAGCTGAAAATCCAAGCGTGGAAAAGAAAAGCATTAGTTAGGTCTGAGTGGAAGGAAGTAGTGAGGCAGGCCAAAGCCCTACATGTGCTGTAGCGCCCCAGGGATGGATGGATAGGACCTTTGTATATTACGTCCTTAAAAACAATCCACAATGTGTACGCTTTATTTATATTAATCGTGACTTGGTACGAAAATAAAAGTTGTTTGCGAAAGAGAAAAGCCAGCAAGGAAAAAAAAAAGTCTTCCACCAACCTGTAGGTGCGTCCAGCGTAGGTGTCCAGTGGCTTCAGAGTCCGCACTTCGCCCGTGCTGGCGTTGACGTAAAACATGGAGAACACGACCTGATCTTCTTGCGTGGAGGGCAGGACGTAGGTCACGGCTCCGTTCAGACCCGTGTCGTGATCGGTGGCCCTGACCGCCACCACAACGGAGTCGACGGCGTTCCCTTCGGACACGTTGACGGCGTACCTGGAGCGGTCGAACACGGGGGCGTTGTCGTTGACGTCAAGGACCTCGATGTTCACCGTCAGCGTGCCGGTCAGTCGCGGCTCTCCCCCGTCCACCGCTCGGACCAGCAGCTGGTAGGAAGGCGTCAGCTCCCTGTCCAGTCTTTCGTCCAGCCGCAGCCGCAGGTCAAACGTGGCCGAGGCACTCCCGCTGACGAGGAAGGTGAACGGTGTCGGCATCTCCACCTGGTTGTAGGCGACGATGGAGTTCCCGGAGCCCATATCCGGGTCGTCGGCCGTGGGGAGGGTATACAGGGCGCCGGGGACTTCGTTCTCGGAAATTTTCAAAGTGACCGACGTGGGGCTGAAGGCAGGGGCGTTGTCGTTAATATCCATGACCATGACCTTGACCAGAACGATCGTGAAGAAGGCGCCGAGTTCTGCCTGGACAACTGTTTGGACGCGTAGATCGCACGTGGTTTGACGTCTGCAGATAGACTCGCGGTCAATTCTGGAAACAAATATCATCAACGGGATGAGAAAACAAAATATTTTTAGAAAGAGTGGGGAGGTGGGGGGGGGGCGCTGATTTTATTTTTTTTAGAAATCAGTTTCGTGCGAGAGGAATTTTCAGAATAACAAGAATATTTAAATAGTACATTATTTCGTAAATACACAATAAGCTCATTACTAAAACTCTCATGCAAAGCCAGTAGTTAATGAGGCGCTGCTACTGAGGAAGGCTCGTAACCGAAACATTCAAATGTATTGCCCCGTCTTTTGATTCAAGCTGCCACATACTTTGTTCTACTATTTCGAAGTTATAAAAGATGTTTGAGGTTGTATGGATGCTTGAGGTTGTATGGATGTTTGAGGTTGTATGGATGTTTGAGGTTGTATGGATGTTTGATGTTGTATGGATGATTGAGGTTGTATGGATGTTTGAGGTTGTATGGATGGTTGAGGTTGTATGGATGTTTGAGGTTGATGGGTGTTTGAGGTTGTATGGGTGTTTGAGGTTGTATGGGTATCTAGTTAATACAAGGCAACAAGAGGCAAGGGGTTTTTGACGAATTGGTGGTAAGGGTACGTAAATGCATTCACATTCAGAATTATTTTACATAAATTATTTCATTAAACAAATAGCAAAATACGATGGTGGTGAGACTGACCTGGAAGCTGCTTTTAGGTCACCGCTGGTGACGTTGACCCATAAGTAAGAGGCCTGGGGGTTCCCCTCAGTGAGAAAACGAAAGCGCAAATCTCGTGTGTTGACACCCTGGACGAGATTCGCCATGTTGGGGTGCTGAAGGATGTTCCCGATCAGGGCGTTGCTGGGGCGTTCCTCTTGTATGGTGTACTCCAGCTCCGTGGTCTGGGCGGAGACGTGTGTCAGCGCCAGGATTAAAACTGCCACGCAGACGAGGTGAGTGGTGACGCCCATGATTGCGGTGGGTGACGTACGGGCTTGGTGTGAGTTCCAATAAAGTGTCTTAGCACAGCACGTCAGAACATGATGAGCAGGAGATAGGGGTGGATGGTGTACGATATTCTTGTGTTTTATGTTAACAACGTCAAACTGGCGACAATGAAAGATAAGTACAAATAAGAGATATGTCATGATATTAAATAATATGGATCTAATACATAATGTAAATAATTTAACTGACCGCCTCAACAACAAAAACAACTAAAACAAAACAGACGACAAATAATACATTAAACACAATAATAGTTAATAGTAATAATCATTCTAAAGAGGATCAGGTTAATAAAGAATGATTAGGGTAAAATTAATAACAATAATTATACTGATAATAACAACGCAACATTTCCAAAAGATGCACAATAATAATCGAGACTAAAAACTTTCATTGAAAAAAAAAAAAACAACAACAAACAACAACAAACAACAACAACAAACAACAACAACAAACAACAACAACAAACAACAACAACAAACAACAACAAAGTTTGAAAGCACTGCGACTAGGACGGCGATAGTATTATTTGTTCATCCTTATAAGGCCATACGGCTGTCATATACAAACGATTTTTAACTTGTCTTCATTTCAAACCCAGACATTGAAAAGTATGCAATATGATCAAAGCCATTACACATGGTGCAGTGCAACAACTCTCCACATCTAATTAGTTTTTAAAAAAAAAAATATATTAACTGTGGAATTCAAGATGCGCAAGTCTTGGCAGTAACATTCCGAAAATTTACGGACATTCTGTAAATGTGCAACCTAAAATGTCTTGTCCGTGAAAGTCCGTATAAAATTTAGGATGTTCATGCAAAATTTCACATTATGCTGTACACAAAATGAGACATAGTAGTGTACACAAAATGAGACCTAGTACTGAACATAAGAGAGACCTAGTACTGTACACAAAATGAGACCTATTACTGTACAGAAAATGAGACCTAGTACTGTACAGAAAATGAGACCTAGTAATATACACAAAATGAGACCTATATTGTACACAAAATGAGACCTAGTACTGTACAAAAAATGAGACATTGTACTGTACAGAAAATGAGGCCTTGTACTGTACACGCATTTTTTGAAGCGAAACAAAATGGGACAACTCGCAGCTTTTGTGGTGATCACAATTAGGAGCAAAACCCAGGGTTTTTTTGGGTAACCACCCTGTGCTTGTGGGGGGGGGGGGGGGGCAAAAGTTTGACCCGCCCCGTGTGGTAGCAACCTTCACTACGCAACTTGACGTGTGCTGAAGCGCTCCTGGCGTCACACCAAGCAAGCGATATAGGCGTGCTATTTATTCAGAAGGATTCTATTGAATTGAAACGCCACGCAGATTGCGTATTTAGTGGTTGTTGCGCTGTAAGAGCCATTTTCACCCAAAATATATAAATATTGCCTTGTACGCAAATGAAAAGAAAAATTCACATGTCAATGAATACGGCCATATGCCAAGGTCAAGGCCATTCCCACCCTGGCATAAATATGTAAATAACTTATAACTTAAGCAAGTGGCCGCACATCGATAACAAAAGAAAGAAGAAAAAAAAAAGGGGCCAGGATTAAAAGGGGAGACGCCACATAACATACACATATAACGGCGCCACACTTTGAACTGTATACAGGAAACCCAATAGAGGCCCTCGGTGTTTATGAGGTTGAGAAAAACATTAAATTGATGATAAAAAAAAAAAAGAAAGATCTCTGAGAGACTCATCCAAGAATGTGGGGGGGGGGGGGGGGGGGGGACAACAACCGGAATTTAAACGTAAACCAAGGGAGATAACGTTAAAAAAAAATAACGTACATTAATTTTGACTCGTCTGTGTGGCTGGCTGTTTTCTTTTTTATTCTGAATGTCTGTAAGGGAATTTAAGTGTTTAGATTCAAGAGAAGTCTGCTCTCCAATCATTGCGTCTGAAGTGGTTGAGCCGGCACGGCCTTTTAGATAGCAACGGAGCCGCGCCGCCCGTACACGGCTCTGGGGTGGATTTTAAGATCTGTCTCTTGAGCGGGGAGGTAAGCCAAGTAGAAACAAAATAAGAAAAGCGGAAAAAAAGGGGTGGGGGGTGGGGGGGTGGGGGAAGATATAAGAATTTATGTGTCATCGAAGTGCACAGGGAGGTAAAAGAGTTAGAAAATGGGAAATAAATTTAGAACTCTGACATTTGTTTTCTTCTGCGCCTCCCAAACTGCACTATGGTTCCCGAACGACGGAAGACATTCATTTTATGAAACGCTGAAAACGGTTGCTGAACACGTTTTTATAAGCCTTTGAAATTACAACACACAATGTACAAGGATACTGATACCCGAAAAAGATCATGGGCTCGTAAAAATAAATCATATTTTTTTGGCGCGTCGGTGATGTTTCTGGTATTTTAAGTTTAGGCGGGGAAATCAGAGCTAGCACCATCTCCTTAGGGATCGTGTTATGCACCATGGGTTAGAGCAGTGGTTCTCAACTTTCATAATGTCGCGAACCTTTAATGCATTTCCTCATGGTGTGGTGAGCCCCCAACCATAAAATTATTTTCGTTGCTACATCATAATTATACATGTTTACTCTTTGGTCTTAGGCAACCCTTGTGTAAGGGTCGTTCGACCTCCAAACAGGTCGCGACCTATAGGTTGAGAACCGCTGGGCTAGAGGCTTCCCATTCAAACCCTCCATCGAATTTTTAAAAAAGTATGCATGAGCTCATGAAAATGGCCTTGCGTGATTGTAAGCATTAGGAGCCTTAATTAAAAGTTATACCAGCGAAAAAAATCCAGTTAGGCATAAAAAAAAAAAGAAAGAAAAGCATTGCAGATTGCAGACAGAGTAGTGATTAATCCCACTGTACTGAAAGTGTGGCATGTCGTACGGTTTTAGAAGGGTAAATGAGTTCATGGCCTTGTCATGGATTAGAGATTACGATGGAATACTGATGAAATGTATTATGATGACAAGGCGCCAATGATGTATGGCTTCGTAAATATTTCTTTCTATTGACAGTATGAATGTTTAGTAGTATAGCTAAGTGAGCTAACTTTTTCATGTTATTAATTTGATACTATTTAATATAATCGGGCGTTTGCAGAGTAATGACCGGGGGGGGGGAGGGGTCGTTGGTGGGTGAGGGGCGGGGTTAAGAGCTGACAGCTCACCGTCAACTGGTCATAGCCTGCCACAGTTGGACATTTCTGAAGGGTGACTCGCCTCCGCGTGTATGTGAGCAGCGGCTGGTAATCACTGCACCAGGGTTATAAGGGATGACCCGGCTGAGTCAAGTGATCGTCTCCCCCTGTGTCAGGTGTTACCTCCTCCTGATCCACTGGTCATCATCTTGCAATGCGTCAAAATGACATCTCTGACCCAACTCCCCCCCCCCCCCCCCACCCCCCCC